TACAAGGTCTCCTTGTTAGCCACAGCTGGCCTGGAACTCACTATGTAGACCAGGTTGGCCTCGAACTCACAGGTATCCACCTGCCTCTGCCTCCCAAGTGCCGGGATTAAAGACATGCACCACCACACCTGGCACACTATTTTTTTAAATATTTTATTTATTATTTTTAGTTTATGTGTATGAGTGTATTGCTTACAGGTATGTAAGTGTGCCCATGTCATGCAATACCCGAGGAGGTTAGAAGAGGGAGTCAGATCCCCTGGAACTGGAGTTACAGCCAGCTGTTAGCCGCCATGTGGGTACTGAGAATTGAACCCACGTCTTCTGCAAGAGCAGCCAGTGTTCTTAACTGCTAAGCCACTCCAGCCCCTTGATAACAATTCTTAATAAATTTAACCTAAAACTAAAAAGAAAAACATGGTTCATATGTAGAACACATACCTTGGGTAAAGCACCCAGGAGATAATGTTTGAATCAGAAACAGCAGTGGTGGCCATAACCGTGATCCCAGCACTCTCTGCTTTCCAAGTGCTAGGGTTACACCTGGCTTTTATGCCTGCTTATTCTTTTTCCTTTTTTATGGGGGGTTTCTTTTTTGAGGCAGGGTCTCCCTGTAGCCCCAGATGGCCTGGAATTTGCTGTGTAGACCAGGCTGGCCTTGAACTCACAGAGATCCACCTGCCTCCACTGGGACTAAAGGTGTGTGCCACCACCCCCAGCTTTTGTGCCTCGCTTTTTTTGTAACTTGCCTATTTATACCTGTTTCTAGGAAACTCAGGTATTTTTAGAAATTTGCCAGAATACAAATTTAATATAAGAACTTTCTGGGAAAATATTCCTAAGGGTTCCACAAAAATGCCTAGCACTCATACATTCAAATACTCTATAAACAGTATCAGAGAATCTACAAGGTGCTGGGCACAGAGTGTATAAAGCAGACATGCTCTTCATGGTCATGAGGTTTTAGTCTAGCAAACATTTGTCAAACTGAGTTAATAAGGCAAGAGCTAAAGTCACTATACTTCATCTATGAAACCTATAATTCAGTTTCAGTATCTGCACCCTGATAACACTGCTCCAGAAAGTCTGATGATGATGACCATCATCAGTTCTTCACAATATGGTACCTTTTTATCTTTCTCTCTCTCTGTCTCTCTGTCTCTCTCTCTGACAGGGTCTCCCTGTAGCTCCAGCTGACCTGGAACTCTCTATGTAGACTAGGCTGGCCTCAGTCTCACAGAGATCCACCTGCCTCTGCCTCCCAAGTGGGCCACCACACCCTGCTACAGAGTACCTTTTTCAAAACAACTAAAAAACAATCTAGTTCTCTATATTCTTACTAACTCATCAGCCCACATTAAATAAATTTGTCTAAGGAACAGTAACAGATAAAAAATGTTTATTAAAGTCAAAAGATTTAATGTACTTCAACCTTAAGAGTGCTTAATCTGTCAAGTAAGCTTGATCTCATGAGATAATTCCTAGATTATATTTACAGACTAACATAATGGAAATCTGGATTCAGGTATCAGACTAAGGAGCTGGATGTTGTCAAGTTCCTAAAAAGCACATAACGATTTCCTTCGTAACTCTAAGGGCCTATTATCAGATCAATATATACATACATATATATGCATACACATATAAATGAAATTAATTTCTCATATATTCAATGAAGCACTATTACTCAAGAGTCAAAAAGAACAACAAATAAACCCATGTTCTTATCATTCAATATAAAAATAAATTATCTCTTATTTTCTGATATATGGCTACCTTCTGGCAATTTAGATTTTTCTGAGGCTTCTGCTAGTAAATAAGTCACCTCACTACTGAACTAGGAAGTCAGCATATACTAGCATTCTCAATGCAGTTGTTGGATTGTGCTCCTTCTGTTCAACAGCATGTAATGGTAAACATAACAAATGCTCAGAAATAGCTTGCTTTATTTCCTATAGTAAATATAAAGAACTTATTAAAATAACCAGGTCAGCAAGATGGCTCATCACAGCAAGCCTGGTGGCCTGAGTTGAGTCCCAGCCCCAGAACCCACATAGTGGAGGGAACCAAACTCCACAAGTTGTCTTCTGGCCTGCCCCCCACCACACACACACACACACACACACACACACTGCCTTCTCTGTACTTCTAACAGTTTGACCAAAATTTAAATTAAAAAGAATTAATTAGAAGGGCCTGCCCTTTCATGTTTCTTTTACCTTCCTCCATAAAAATACATGTCTTTCTACAAAGAGATTAAACAAAAAAGTCTTTTAAAAAACTCATTTTACCCAATCCAAACTTACCAGCATTAAGCACTCTTTGTTATTAAAATAATTTATTAGAATGCACCACTACTAATCCTGTCCATCTAGAATTTCTTCCCTGAACCAATAAAGATTTAAGTAATAGTTCACAACCTCAAGTCCCTTAATCCTTCTATAAGAAAAGCTAATTAACACTTACCTGGTATTTAAACAGCAAACTAAAAAGGCTTAACAGGGGCTGGTGAAATGGCTCAGCAGTAAAGGTACTTGCTGATAAGCCTGATACCCTAAATTTCATCCCCGGTACCCACATGATGAAAGGAGAGAACTGACTCCAGCAAGTTGTTCTCTGACCTCCACATTTGGTGCCATTGCATGCACCAAATGCTAGTTCTAAAGTTTGCCACTTTTATTTAAAGCAACAAAATTTTCTCTTCAAAAGATGAACTGAAAGACAGTGTGATGGTGAATGACTATAATCCCAGCTCTGGGAGGGAAGAAGAAGGACTGTCCCAAGTTTGAGTCAGCCTTGTCTAAATAGCCAGTTTCACACCAGCCAAAGCTACATAGTAAGACCCTGGCTCAAAAAAATAAGTCTACTTGAAATTTAGTACATAAAAAAAGGTCAGGGGTTGGACAGATGGCTCAGCAGTTAAGAACATTGACTGTTCTTGCAGAAGACCTGGGTTCAAATCCCAATACCCATGTGGCAGCTAACAACTGTCTATAACTCCAGTTCCAGGGGATCCGAAGGTCTCTTCTGCCCTCCTCGGGCATTGCACATTTGTGCACTTACTTACATGCAGGCAAAACACTCATACACATAAAAATTTTTTAAAAATCTTAAAAAAAAGCTCAAGCTGAAAAAAAGCAAAGGAAATTATTAGAAATCCTTGTTCTAAACCTTTTTCACTTTTAAAACAAAAAGTTGACCCACTAAGACAATAACTTAACAAAGGTCCATATTTTGCTTTTTCCTTGTTTTGATTTTTAAGGCAGTGTCTTACGTAGCCCAGGCTGGCCTTGAGCTCACTATATAGTCAAGGATGGCCTTGACTCTTGACTTTTTATCCTCCTGCTTTATTTCCCCAGTGCTAGGATTACAGGGTTGCACCACCATGCCCCACTCTCATTTTACTTTTTAAAATGTATGCTCTAACACTGTAAGTTTCCTGAAAAAGGCTGTTTTAATCATCTTTCTATGTCACCTGAATAAAATGTTATTTGTTACGTTATCTTTGACCAAGTTTCAGAAAAGCTAGTTTGGCATCTGCCACATAATAATTAGTTTAGTAAGTATTTGTCAGTTTGCTGAAAATAAAGTCATTGAATACATCTAGAGCAATGAGAATAGTAACATATTGTGCATAGTTCATAAACATTAACTGTTATTAAGTAACTTTGAACAGAAAAAAAAAACTTAAAACCTTTACTTAAAATTTAATCTGGGAAGCAAAAACCAAGCAACTTCATCACTTTCAACTTGCTCATTTACATATTACAGATACAACTACATCTTTGATAACAATTTGTTTCTAATTTATAAAGTTATCGTGACCCTGACAGTCTAAGCAAAAATGATACAGACATTAAGCTAGTCTTAAGTTGGGGCTATTTCACTTCTTTCTAAACCTCAGTCTCAGTCATCTGTGAAATGGAGCTGCAGAGAAGTGAAGAAGATCTCTAAGGTTCTTTCCTATTCTAAAACTGTAGGTTTATAATAAATTTGGGCCTAGACTCTGTTGGCTTCCAACTTAGCATGTAAGAACTTTATTAAAAAGTCAGTCAGAGCCCGGTATGTGGCGGAAGCCTTTAAACCGGGAGGCAGAGGCTTGGGCGGATCTCTGTAAGATCGAGGACAGACGGGTCTCCATATAGAGTTCCAGGCCAGCTTGGGGCTACAGGGAGACCCTGTCTCAAAAAGACCAAAAAAAAAGGTCAGCCAATAGTGCACTGAATCCGGTGTGTCAGATGGCCAGTTTCATACACGCTCCGATATTATTCAGAGTAAGGGTCTCAACTTCTTCAACCAGTAAAACGAAGCTGTTGGACAATATGAAGTGTTTAAAATATAAAGTAGGCACATTTGATGAAACAAGCTAGCCCAGAAGTTTGTTCAGATGGAGACTGAGTCACCATTCCAGAGGATTGGAACATCGGAGGATTAGAACAGATCTTAGTAGCCTACCATTCACCCAACTGAGGCCTCAGTCCTCTCTGACATCTTTCTAAAAGAAGCGATCTAGCCATTGTAGTTATGACGATCTACCCACTGACACAAGGCACTCCATCTTAGGCCAGCTATAATGCAAAGTTCTTTGACTGAAGCCACACCATTCTCTTTGAAATTTTCACTCACTGTTTTACTCTCTTTCATTTAAGGATTCCCGAATATTTATGGATAGCGACTGAATATTAGTAGCATTCCCTTTAAATATCCTCTCCTCCAAAACTAACATCGCCAACTGTCAACCTCGCTCATAGCGTACTCCTACCCCCTTACATCCGTTCTTGCTTTAATGAATGTCAAAATTACTCCAAAAGCTCTTCCCGTTCCGACACCCCGACTCCTTATGGAACACCCCAAACTGCCCGGGCCACCTCCACCCAAACATACATTTGGGGTGCGTAGTAATGCCCTGTTGCTCCTCCGGGAGGTACGGAGACTAGAAGGGACCGGGACACCAAAGGAAGCCCGCACCCTGTTCTCCCAGTCCAGGCCTCCTCCCTCACCGGTACTGCTTGGGGTCGCTGGGGGACTTGACGATCTCGGGATCGCCGGCATTACTTAGAGTCCCGCTCCGTCTCTCCTCCTCCGATTCATCCGCTCCGAGACGGGCCATCCGGCCGCTCTCGCCCTGATCCTGGCCATTGGACTGCAGGTCCGGGCAGCTGCAGGTGGACTTCGCCTTGTTTCTTCCGGGCATGATGAGCGTAGGAAAGGGTCTCGGTTCTTCGCACAGACCCCGTGCTTCGACTCTTCCCGGCGCCGTGAGCTCCCGCCCTGGCTCACACCACAACTTCCTCCCGGTGGCAGAGACTGCAGCAACCGCAACTCTTCTCAGCATTCACCAGCAAGCGTGGCGCAGGGCATCCCGCTCCCCAGGCCCTCCTCCTCCTTCAGCCCCTCCTCCTCCGGGGTCCAGAGGCGGCCGCGGCCGGCGTTGTTGCTGCCGCAGCCGCAGGGGAAGACAGGCCTGAACCCCTCCTCCAACCCGGCCTCTCTCTCACCGACTTCCCTCATACCTCCTGACGGCCGATGACGCTACTTATGCTAAGCCAATCACAAGGCCGGACGGCCATCACGTTCGCAGAAACAGCCAATGGGAGCAGGGACCAATGGGGCCTGCCGGGACCCGGAGCACCCAGAGAGCCTTTCGAACCCCGACGTGGGCGGGGCGGAGAGGCGGGGCTTAGGGCTCGAAGGACGATGGGAGAACCTTCGGGGCGATTGTGATGTAAGCGGGTGGCTATTTCGAGAAGACCGCGGAGTAGCTAGAGCTCCGGTGGCGGAGGAACGTGAGGGGTGACGGCGAGACTGAGTACCCTTCTTTCTTATTTCTTCCCTATTTGCGGCATATTTGACGGATCCTACCCTCAGAGACCAGGAAGAGCCTTTGGCTGTGACTCAGCAAGTCAAAAAAACCCAACAGAAGCCCGGAAGTCTTTTCCTACCTTGGCGGGGTGGTCCCTGTTATAATGTGGTGCTAAGCACCGGAAATAACCATTACATCTTTCCACCCCGCAGGCTGCCAAACCATTGATGCTTTTCACTCTCAAAGCCTGAGAGAGTGCGTAAAAGAGCGGCTTGAATGTGCTCATTCCTATTCGCGAAATGTTTTTAGTTTCTCCGCGGACTAATTTCCTCAGTCAGCTTTTATTGAGAAGCATCATGTTAGGCTGCTGCCCTCAAGTTAACCTTCCCAAATTTTTTTATTTGCCGTGGCATTTGCTGGGCAGTCTAAGAGGTGACTGAAACATGTAATGAAAAATAAAAAGTAGTTTAAGATACAATATAATGATACAGTTGGATAAATAGATCCTAACAGGAGGAATAAACATCTACAATATGAATAAGTGGAGAAAGGCTCGAAACAGGTAGCTGTCATTTTGTCATTAAATATTTTTCTGGCCTCTGAGCTCCAGGAAATGGAGGTTAAGTCATGAACCAAACACAATCCTTGCCTTCCTGGAATTTACATTGTATTGGAAGAAACTGACCATCAAGTAAAGTATTCAAAAACCAATAAATGCGGGGGGTGGTGCGGGTTGGGGTGTAATCTCAGCACTTAGAAGGTAGGGACAGGTGGATCTCTGAGTTTGAGGCCAGCCTGATCTGAGTTCCAGGACAGACAGGGTTATGTAATAAGACCCTATCTACAGCAGCACCAAAATACGTAAATAAATGCTGAGAACACAATGCAAGACATGAAGATGAAAGGGGAGGATAAGTGAATTGAGGCAAAAGAATATTCGAAAGTATTCAGATTTCCTGGTTTCAAAACATCTTCAAGAACCTATCAGTTTTTAAAATACTCATCTCTACTGGGCTCCTCATTTGAAGCAGCTTTTTCTGTTCAGTCTTAGCATGGCTTCCCCGTGCATAATAAAACAATTAGTAAATGTTTGCTGTTGAGTAAATACCTGAAATGATAGTTCTGTATGCGAGGTTCTTCTCCGCTCCAAAATAATAATGCTATGGAAATCTTCAAATTCAACTATCAAATTAAAATTCCCTAACTAGAAAAATAATTTACATTCTTAAGTGTGACCTGGTTTTCCCTATCATGAAACATTCCATTATTCATCTAACAAATTGAGGTCCTGCCAGAAATTGGGAGTAAAGAACAAAATATTTCCCCACCCCTCGGAGCTTTCAAAAGAACTAGTGGAGAGACAGACATTAAAGAAGCACACACATTTAAATCTATAATTGTAAAAAATTCTAAATGGGGATAAAGAGATAGGCCTAGTCAAGGGGTTTTTCCAAAGAAGAAGAATTTAAGCTAACCTTTGAAAATGTAAGAATTGGTGTAGCTTATGAGAAGTTCTGGGTATGGCGAAACTAGTGATCTGGAAGCAAAAAGGAGTCCGTGGCAAAGGTCACACAGAATCTTAAGAATACGTCATTGACTTGTCTTATGCATCATTGGATTCCCAGATCTTAGAATGCTTTCTGGTATGCTATATTTACACCATGAGTAATGTGTGAACGAATGGAGAAAAGGAATGATCACAGTTGTTTTCCAAGCAGATCACTATGACTGCTATGATGAGTTAAAAATGAATTGGATGCTGGGGTAATGGTTCTGTAAAGTTCTTTTGCTGTGCAAGCATGAGGATGGGAGTTGTGATCCTCAGAACCCACCAAATGTGGTAGCCACCTGTAATCCCAGCACTTGGGAAGCAAAGGCAAGGGATCTCCAGGTTGACTAGCCAGAAATGAGGTTCAGTGAGAGACCTTGCCTCAAAATGGAGGGTGATTGAAGCACGCACTTGACATCAACTTCAGGCCTCCGCATATGTGCCCACACACATGAAAATGCATACATGTATGCACACATACCACACACACAAAGAAAATAAGCCGGGTGTGGTGATGCACGCCTGTAGTACCAGCACTCAGCAGACAGAGGCAGGCGGATCTCTGTGAGCTCGAGGCCAGCCTGGTCTACATAGTGAGTTCCAGGTCAGCTGAGGCTACAGGGAGACCCTGTCTGGGGGGGGGGGGGAGAAATTGAAGCAAGGAGGAGACAAGGGCAAGGCAAGACTGGAAGTTTGAAGAGAATAAATGTATCTGTAGTCTGACCTGGGACTATTCAGGGGGATGAGACAGGCACATCAATTGAAAATCTCCCCCCAAAGAAAAGAGCAGTTGGGAAGCTATCAGAGTAATACAGGCATGAAAATAGCTTGAATTTGAGTAGTGACAGTAGAGATGGAGAAATGTAAACAGACATGGGTTTAGAACATGGAATTGACTGGTTTTAGTACTGATTTTTTTTTTTTAAGTTTTATTTGTGAGTGTGCCACGTGTGCTGATACCTGCTGAGGCCTGAAGAAGGGGTCAGATCCCTTGGAGATGGTGTTACCGTCAATTGTGAACTGAGATCCAAATTCAGGCCCTCTGGAAGAGCTCTTAACTGCTGGGTCACCTCTCCATCCACAATAGTGATTTTTAAAATATTTTTTTATTTTTTATGTGTATGAGTGTATTGTCTGCACGTGTATAAGTGCACCTGTGTCATGCAATGCCCATGAAGGTCAGAAGGCATCAGATCTCCTGGAAGTGGAGTTATGGACGGTTGTTAGCTGCCATGTGGGTGCTGGGAATCAAACCTGGGTCCTCAGCAAGAGCAGCCAGTGCTCGTAACTGCTGAGCCATCTCTCCAGCCCCACGTGATTTTTTTTTTTTTTAATGTGAAAGGATGAGGTAGGAGAAGTGTCAGGCATAACTCCTTGGTGTCTAATTTTCTGTGTTGGATAGATGATGGTGCTATAAACATCCTAACAAGAGAGAAGATATTCCAAAGAGAGATGCTTGTACCACTCACTCTCTTTGGCTGTCAGGCTATTGAGTCCTCTAAGGAAATAGAATTACCCCAGAAATCTCATACTTGGAGAAAGAAAAAGCTGGATGGCTTGTCAGACCACCTTGCAGGGTAGGCTATAGACCGACAATGATGGGTCAGTGATGGGTGGGGTCGAAATTGCTTAGTTGTGCATACCTCTTGCCCTCTTTAAACCTCATGTCAGGACCAAGAAGATGGGACTTGATGGGTCGCAAGACTTATCTGAAGTTTCTCTTCTGAATGCGGCCACATTGATTAAGCTTCCTTTCTCTACTTTTCACTGGATTTGTCTTTTTAAGTGGCCTATTAAGGACCTGTAGCCCAACTTAGCTTGATAAAGTTGCCCAGGTTTGGACCCTACCAACTCAGCTGGAAACTCAGGGAACAGGAAACTGAAGAAGAAAGTTTGCTGAGAAGAAAACATTAGCTCAGTTTTGGACACACTGTGTCATTTGTGTGGTTACAATAGATCAGTTTTGGACACATTGTGCCATATAAATGAAGATCAGGCCAAAGCTTATTGAATGAGATCATCTACACCAAGATTGTGAAATGAAACAAGAACTGGGCATGGTGGCTTATGCTTGTAATCCCAACACTCAGGAGGCTGAGGCAGGAGAATTGCTGGGAGTTCCAGGCCATTCAGAGCTACATAGTAAGACCCTGTCTCTGAAAAAGAAGAGTAAAGGACCTAATACCTAAGCTTTAAAGAGCTTGTGGAAGAATTGACTGAGAAGAAAAATAGAAGGGGGGGAGCAGTGCCAAACAAGTATAGGAAAACCAGAAGAGCAGGTAATCACATCAAGAATTCCTCTACGTCTAATACAATTCTGGGCCCATCGAAGATGTCAAAAATGTCAGATTAGGGATATAAAATGTAAGAATTTGGTGGAGGAGAGATGATGCAGTGGGTAAAGGTGCTTTCTGCCAAGCCTGACCACCTGAATTTGGTCCTTAGGATATTGTAGAAAGAGAAAAACATTGTAGAAAGAGAAAAACAATTCCCACAAGTTGTCGTCTGACCTCCACATGGCATACACTTACATGTGTGCACACACATAATGTCATAAACATTTTTAGTTAGATAGAATTGGGGGACCAGAGCCCTGGCTGCTCTTGCAGAGGACCTGGGTTCGATTCCCAGCACCCCCTTCCCATGCTGGTGTGATGCTGGGACCAGCAATAAAAGGATAACGTGCAATGCTAGTTTTTGGCCTAATGTATGATTTTATGTTTTCAGTGTTCTGTATACATGTAGAATTGCTAAAGTTGTTATTTCTAGTATTTACAGTAGAAAAATTATTTAGATATTCGATCATTTTAACCAACATTTTAAATCATGACACTTTATTGTATTGTAATAAATTTCACTTTTAACACTGAAAAAAAAAGTTATGTCAGCTAACAACCATCCATAACTCCATTTCAGAGGATCCAACGCCTTCTTCTGACCTCCAAGGGCATTGCACGACACGGGTGCACTTACACACATGCAGGCAATACATTCATACACATAGAATAAAAATACTAAAATAGCTTTGAAAAATTAAAGGGCTGGAGAGATGGCTCATTGGTTAAGAGCACTGGCTGCTCTTGCAGAGGACCCGAGTTTGATTCCTAGTACTCACATAGCTAACAACTGTCCATAATTCCAGTTCCAGGGGATCCAATGCCCTCTTCTGACCTCAGCGGGTATTGTACAACACAGGTACACTTACCTTACAGCATGCAGACAATACACTCACACACAGATACACATAATAAAGATAAATAAAACTTTAAAAAAATAATAAAAATAAATTAAAAAAAAATAA